AGGAACAACGTGATTTGTGCGTTGGATCATCTCTGGCTAAGCAGCTCGAGGTAAACCAAATCGACACGATATCGAATGGACTGGTCTTGGAACAGAGCAAGGTGAACGATGAAAATAACTGTACAAAACACGTCCCAATGTTCCTGGATTCTCACTGGCGTAGTTGTTCGATACTACATTAGTAGCTTTGCGATAGAGAAACAAAAATGCTTGATTCCGACAAGGTGTTGTCCTTTGCCGTCCATGGCGAGACGAACTAATTAATTTTGTTGCTTGGAGTACGGATTCGTCGTAATTTTTGCACTTTCCCTCAGCACTGCACTTTGTTCCCCATGGCAACCGCTCATGACGCACTGGGCAAGTTGACGGCTTTTGACTAAGTTTTGTGCCATCGATTCTTGCTGTTTGTATGCAGTGGTGCATCCCTCAGCATGACAATGGCGGGTGCCTGTCATCCTACTTCGAGCGCGTATAAATACCGCTTCCATAGCTTGGATTCACCTAAAATTTGACCAGTACGGAGCGTTTTGGATACTGTTAGATTTGTTCTAGAATATTCCGGTCTTTCTTTTGTTTTGATGGTTGTAGTCCAGTGCATTAGTGCTGGTCATGCTTGGTAGGTCGACTGAGACTCATTCATGGCTGTTACATGCATTGTATGCTATAGCCTAGCCGTAGCTGACCACTGTTACGGATGTCCAATCCAGGTCAGTGTCTAGTGTTTGACCATTCATGTCTGAGTGTGTAACCTGAGCACACTCTCTATGTGCATCGTACCATATCCGAGCATGAATAGTTTAGTAATCTACGCACTGTCCTGCCGTGCTCGTTTTCTATATCTTCCGTTGTTCTCATGTTCTTGGAGTTAGTTGTTTTAGTTTACAGTCTTCGTACCTTTCGTAATGTAGGTTCTTTACTGATTGCTGCAGTGCATTTAGTTGGAACATTTTCTGGTCCTTCGAGCCGGATCCGACGATGTCGGAGAAAAGAATTAGCTCGAGAACTACGAAGGGTAGGCCGCCTTCTAGGCTTGGTGAGTGGGACAGTGTCTCAAAGGCCTCGAGAACGTCCAGCAAAGCGGCTGAACTAGAGGTCTTAGTCGCGGAGAAAGAGTTCGAAGCGGCTGAGGAGCTGGCTCAACTTGAGATGGAGACAGCGGAGCAACTGGCGAAGAAACGCTTGGAGTTGCAGAGAGACGTGATTCAGAAGCGCCTAGCAGCAGATAAGGCAGCTGTTGCACTTGAACTCTCCTCCGTTGGGAGTCGGCACTCTGTTGCAAGCTCCGAGGCAATGATGCCAATCGCCAGTGCAGGCAAGGAAACTCAGAGTCCAAGATTGACGACGAGTTTGCTGGAGCGTCATGCCCAGTTTCTACGTAGGCTGGAGCTCAGCAATCTGGATACCGGAGCTGGTAAACCCAGACAAGGAGCTGTCACGCTTAGTCGTGCTGGCTTTGACGCAGATCCTCGTCCGGAGGAAGAAGGCGATCTAGATCAGCAAGGCCCGGAGAATGGCGCTCAGAGTTTGCCTGACCTCAGCAAGGTTCAGTTGAGTAACAGTGTGGATCTACAAACTGCGGCGGCAGATTTCCTAGGTTCAGTGCCTGTGCCTGTAGACCGTGTGGGTAGCTCTGGAGCTGCAGTAGGTGCGCAGGGCACAGGAAGTGTTCCTGACGACCACAGCTCGATCGCTTCTGTGTCCTGGGATCATCACCAAGGTGTGAACAGTACAGGTCGTGTACTGGCTGTAGCTAAGCCGCCTGTGCAAGCTCAGCCAAGTCGGCCCCAGCCTTCCATTCACCAGAGCCAGAGGCAGATTACCATTCATCCAGCCACTCAGGTGAGCCGCAGCAGCCTCAACCCTGGCCCAGGGCCAAGTGCATTGAACTACAATCCAGTGAGCTCAATCAGACCAGGACTGGCAGGAGTAAGATATGGCTTACCTGCCATGACCCAGCCAGTGACAGCATCAGTGAATACACACCTAGGGCCTGGTGTTGGCAGATCATACAGTGTGGCCACTACCACTAGTACTAGTGTTACATGTGGTGTCACACCCAGTAATTGGAAACCAGTGACTGTGCAGTCCAGTTTTGCACCCATCAGTTCTGTGCAGGGACACAGTCACAGGGCACAGAAGTCAGCAGCTACCACAGTGCCAGCACCCCCTGCAGCAGTATTGTCTGGTCCAGAGCAGCTGCAGATTTACAACAGCATGCTGTCCAGACAGCATTTGAGACCACTAGAGCTGCCGAGATTCAGTGGCAAGACAAACGATTACAGCCGGTGGAAGCAGCGCTTTAAGCAACTCATCGACGACGATGCATTCTTGTCAGAGGGGCACAAGTTTGCACGTCTGCGAGAAGCGCTGACAGGTGGTGACGCCTATGAGTTGATTGCCGAAATTGTGGATGGTCCTGGTGCCTACAATGCCGCACTGCATGAGCTAGATGCATGGTATGGCGGGCCAACACGGGACATCGACCGGTATGAAAAAGAATTGATGTCAGCGCCGCGACTCGTCAATGAGCGAGACCTCGACGGGTTGAAGAGTTTTGCCGTAAAGCTGAGGAATGCACTCATCAATCTCAGCGCCAGCGGCATCACACCAGGGCGAGAGTTGTACCTAAGTGTCACGCAGAAGGTACCCAAGTCAGTGTTGACACGCTTTATGGAAAAGCACGACGACTCGCAGTGCGACATTGGTGCCTTCTCAGAGTACCTGCTCAAGAGAGTCCAGCGTCTGCGCCAGGTCGAAGAACGAATGAGTGGCGCCGAGCTGGCTGAACAGCGACCAAGTAGTGGTGGAGCCAAGTTTGGCAAGCGGCCCGACCGTACGTTTGTAGCAACTACTAGTGGCCAGAGCCCAGACAGCCGCAACGATTGCATATACTGCAACAAAGACCATGCACTCAACGATTGCCGAGAATTCAAGCAGTTGACAATCCCTCAGAGATGGGACTTCATCAAACCAAAGCCCGTCTGCATCTGCTGCTTTGGCCCAGGCCACAAGGCAAAGTCATGCAAGCAGTCCAAGTGCAGCATCTGTAGTAGGCCACATCATCGCCTGCTACACTACACGAAGTTGAACCAACGGACAACCGGAGCCAATAGTCAACACAGCAAGGACCGCTCAGCTTCTTGCCAGGATACAAGCACAGAGGCATCAGCAGCCGACAAGACAGCACACACCCAGACTGCATGTGGCACTACCATCGAGCCCAAGTCTGTCGCGTTCATGACTGTTGCCACCACCGCAAAGGGTCCGACAGGGTCAAGGAAAGCTAACGTCTTCCTGGATTCAGGATCTTCTTGCAGCTTTATAACCACAGAACTTGTCAGCCAGCTCGGGCTACAGACAACGAAAGCTAACGTCCCGCTGGATACCGCTGTTCTGGGGGGAGAGAAGCTCCGTCTGGAGCGTTATACATCAGCTGAACTATGTCACGCTGATGGCCAGTCGTCAACGACCGTCAGAGTGTGGATGCTTCCGCGCATCATGCGTCCCGTCCCAGCCTTCGACTGGACAGAGGAACTGAAACGCTGGCCGCATCTCAGTGACGTCGTACCTGCAAGCAACGAGTCCAGAGTGGATCTGTTGATTGGTCTCAATGCGCCGCAGCTGCACATTTCACTTGCCGAACGATTCTGCAGTGAGGGAGGTCCAATTGCCAGGAAGACACCGTTGGGCTGGGTACTGTTCGGCGAAGGTCCGACTGACAGCGCATCAGAGATGACGGAACAATCACTACTGGCTGTAAGTGACAGTACACTGATAAACACCGTCAACAAGTTCTGGGACCTCGAGAGCGTTGGCATGCAGGCCAAGAGCACATCATCCTACCTGACTCCGGATGAGCGTGAGGCTGACGCAATGACCGTGCAAAGTCTCCACCACAACGGCACACGGTTCGTTGTCGGCATCCCATGGCGAGGCGACGGTAGCAAGCCAAAGATTCAGCAGAGATCGGAACAGTACGCCAGGAAGCGGCTCTGCTCGCTACACCGTCTGTTCCAGAAAAATCCTACTGTACAGCTGCGCTACTCAGAAGTGCTTCAGAACTACCTGGCCGATGATGCAACATGGTGGACAGGTCCAGCCTTCTTGTCCAAGCCCACCTCCACATGGCCCAGTAAGCACATCGTGCCGCTAGCAGAGCTTCCAGGTGGCTGAGAGATTCTACAAGCGAGCTGTCCATCGGCTTGTGCTCCTTGAAGTCGAAGGTACTGAGTGAACACTACTTGCAGTCTGTTAGTTCACTTCATTGCTACGTTATTTGCACTTTCGTTTCTTAGACTCACTCAGATGCTAGTTATCACTCTTCGTTCGTGAGGGAGGTATGTTAGATTTGTTCTAGAATATTCCGGTCTTTCTTTTGTTTTGATGGTTGTAGTCCAGTGCATTAGCGCTGGTCATGCTTGGTAGGTCGACTGAGACTCATTCATGGCTGTTACATGCATTGTATGCTATAGCCTAGCCGTAGCTGACCACTGTTACGGATGTCCAATCCAGGTCAGTGTCTAGTGTTTGACCATCCATGTCTGAGTGTGTAACCTGAGCACACTCTCTATGTGCATCGTACCATATCCGAGCATGAATAGTTTAGTAATCTACGCACTGTCCTGCCGTGCTCGTTTTCTATATCTTCCGTTGTTCTCATGTTCTTGGAGTTAGTTGTTTTAGTTTACAGTCTTCGTACCTTTCGTAATGTAGGTTCTTTACTGATTGCTGCAGTGCATTTAGTTGGAACATTTTCTGATTCGATTGGTATATCACTCATTCCTCTGGTTTCAAGTTAGATTTTTCGTCTGATATCGCTAATGTTCGGCACTTACCTGGCTTGAGGAATCACCCATCACCCCCCCCCCCCCCCCGTGTGTGTAATCCTGGTATGGTCTCCCATCAATTAGTTCTCTTCCCTTTCTCTTGCCCAGCCACCATTAGATGTTACAGTAGTCCACCACGCAGACCCCTCTGCAGAGGAATGAGGGAGGTCTTACCTTGTATCCTGCAATTTGGGTGTAGCCGTCCGCCGACTTGAATTTTCGTGTGTGCAGCGTTTTGGAATGTGGAGCGGGCGCTGTTTTTGGCCGATCATTGTTCGCTGGCAGTTGGAAAGAAACAGAAGTCCACAACGGAATATACCCGGGTATATACAGTTGAAGGCATTGGGTCGTCCACATCAAGGGACGCCACAAAAAAAAACGCCAGAAGCCCACGACAAACATGCGTTACTTACCAATGCGATCACTCTGACTCGTCGTCGGTTTTGTGTTGTCGACGCTAGGTCCTGGAGCATTTCCGTACAAATAGCGTCTACCCGTGGCCATGTTGGCAACCCGCTGCTCCTTGCAGCAGTGGGTTTGGATTGCTTGTAAACTGCAGCCGCTCGCAAGTGCACCATGGCATGTGAGCGCCACTTCGAAAGAGAAACTTTTTGCGCAAGCGCCTCTTCACATTGCATTGTGGTGTGCCTCGCAGAACAGCGTGCATGATCCAGCCGTCGTCTACGTGTACTTCTAGTACTAGTAGATCTACGACTACGAGTACGAGTATCATGGTAGTGATGGCTACATACAGCCACACTGTACTGTAGTGGCTAGCTACAGCCCAGGGCTGCATCGCGCTGAGGCAGTGCCTTGCCCACGCCACGGTTGAAGGTCGCTTGTCCTGACGGAGGTGAACGCTCCATGTCGGCCACAATATTGGGCTTCGATAAAGCTGAACCCGTGTGCGAAAGGACCACCCAAAATGATCTGGCTAATAATCAGCGGCTCAGAGAAGAAACTCAAACTCAACTTTTCGGGAAGGCAAAAGTAGCAACAGTTACTACGTAACATCATGTAAACATGGTAAATGCAGCTAACTGTACTGGAGCCCTACTTTCGCGCTTGGACAAGTACGTTTTGTCGAACATGCGAACATGATGTATAACAATTTATCTTTACTTATAAAAGAGAGGCACCTGTGACGTGTGTCTGTGTGTGTGTCACGCTCCTTATATAAAGAAGAGGCACCTGTGACGTGTGTTTTTGTGTCACGCTGAAGCGCTGCGGAGCAGCGCTGCCCTGAGCACGCGAAGCGTGCGAACAGTGTAGCACAGTGTAGCTAGCGGCCGCAGAAGCACTGAGCACGCGAAGCGTGCGAATCGTGTAGCTAGCGGAAGCAGCCACAGCACTGAGCACGCGAAGCGTTCGAATCGTGTAGCCACCACCACGTGCTGAGCACGCGAAGCGTGCGAACAGTGTAGGTACGTAGACCCGGGGTGCTCGAATCAGAAACGATTTGACAGGTGTGCAATTTCTCATCTGTAAATCTCAACAATGTCAGAATATACTTTTGGAGAGGCGATGGAACAGGGAAGAGAGTCTGGCTTGACCCACCCAGCAGGAATTCAGAACATGGGTGCGCTACAACACAAGCTACAGACGCAGTAAAATTGTCGTATTTCCTTCGGATTTTTATTTCTACGGTGGTAGCGCTTATACTTATACTATAACAGACACGATCAGTACGAGTAGCAGTAGCAGCCGCGCGCAGAAGCACTGAGCACGCGAAGCGTGCGAATCATGTAGCCACCTAGCCTAGGCCATAGGTAGCACTAGCAGCCGCACAAGCGCTGCGGACCACGTGAACCGTTCTCTGCAAATAGAAACATCTCCAACAAAAGGATACAAAAGATCTGCACTGACTGCACTCTGCATCTGATCTGCAGTGAAGAGCGCATCGCACTTTTGTTCGTAAGTTTTTGAACTTTTTGAGCCGCTTCATCCGCCACCAGGTGATGGACAACCCTGACCAGCCTCCCGAAGGCGTAACAGACGTCCCTCCTTCTCCTTCCAACGATGAAGAACCTCCCTCACCAGGACTTCAGCGGTCTAGGTCTGGCCACCACCACGTGCTGAGCACGTGTGCTGTTCATGTTCTTGCTTCACCCGCGCATGCCACATTCGGCCAGGCAACGCTGGCGGGGGTGCTGCTAGTTTACTATAAAGTATAAGATCAAGGAAAAATGGGCACAATGAAGGAAAAACCTCATCGGTCACCATCACCACCAGGGAGTCGCAAAATACAATAATTATACCGGTATACGGTATTATACGACTCCCTGATCACCACCATGCACCATGCACCCATCACCAGTGACCACCACTGAATTTTTGCTTGCAAAGCAACATCATTACTAAGTCTTTATGGCCTGTAGAGTTTTACTTTTAGACGCCGAGTCGAATGGTGAAGGCCGCACTTCGATCCGACCAAGCGTTCCTGAGACATCTGCACTGGATGTGTGTGTGGGGGGTGTACACTGGAGGTGTGTGTGTGTGTGTGTGTGTGTGTGTGTGTGCAGGTCTGCACGAGATACAGTAACCACGGTATACCAGGTATACAGCAGTACAATACACCCCAAGACTTACTACCGGTAGTTGCACAAGATACAGTAACCACGGTATACAGCAGTACAATACACCCCAAGACTTACTACCGGTAGTAGTAGTAGTAGTACCAAGAGTAGGTTATGTACTCTTGCTAGTACCAGTCCAAGACCATCGCCATAGGGGTTTGAACACATCTTCCCAAAAGCAGTCAGTGTACACAACAGTTTACCCGTGCACCGTCGTACGCGGTCATGAAACACCCTCATGCTCAGTCGGAGTGCCTGAGTGTGTGTCTGAACACAGGAAACAACAGAACAGTGAGGGACACTGAGCAGCATGTACCGCACACCAAACTCACGGGCAATATTCACTTTCCGGCAATGTTAAAATTAGGAAAGGAGCGGAGCAATGAAGCCATTGCTTCAACACAACCAGCATAATTACATTATTGTATAGGTATGGTGATATAGTGATGATCTTGGGCAAAGGCAGGCAGCAGCAGTAGTGAAGGCTGAGTGGAGACCATGGCATCGCCAGCAGCACCATGGCATTAGCGCAACTGCACTCCAAAAACACACAACGCAACACAATCAAGGAGGCAAAACAGCTACGTCCTTGGCCAACATTGCACCAGTGACAGTACGTGCCATATAAGACTCCATGCAGCACCAGCCAAATAGAACGAGTAAAGTTTGAATAGTGGATCAATAGTTCTTTTTCAATATGAATATCATCTTCCTCCCGGAGATACTGGATTCGCAGCAGAGCACCTACAGCTGAGCGCATATTGCTCTAAGCAGCTGACAAATTTCCAGATTAGCGGAGCAATGAGGAGCATCAGGAAGTCTGGTGTTGAAGCGTCTTGCTCCAAGGAAACGTTCTTGAGGCAGGCTGTTCTCCAGGGCGTGTCTCCAGGGTGTGTGCTGAGACAACGTACGGCATGCTAGCAGTGAGTAGAGCGGCTAGAAATGCACCCGTTGGCAGCAATGAATCTCAAATCACTGCCAATACGCATGCATAGCGCACACACACCAAGTGCATGGCACACGCCCAGTGCGTACACACACGCCCAGTGCACAGCACCCTGAGAGGCTCGCAGTACTACCAGAACGGATTTAAACTACAGCAGGAGAGTAGAGAGGGAAATGGCTTGCTTCAAAAAATGCCATCATGATCCAACCGTCATGATTCAAGCCGTCATCCTTATTCACTTGGTCCAGTTCGTCATGTAGCGCATTCGCAGGAACGACGATTGCGCATGATTCTCGAGCCGTGAGAGATCGGCAACGGATGATGCCAGCTGCTCAACATGATTATCGTACACACTGGCACCTGCACAACACACATGGACATATGGACACAATCATGTCAGAAGTATACAGTTTATCATCCAGATGAACAAGTAGTGATGAAATGATAACGGCTTCCGACTATTGGCTGTAATTTCATCATAGTCCATTACATTTTTTCGTTCTCTACATTGTTATCACATTGATGCAATAAAGCCGTTGCACATGTTGATTCAGCTCGTCCTTTGGTCGCAATTTTCAAACTGTTGTCGCCTCGTTGCTTAGTTACGTGTTAGCGAGAAGTTACTTTTAAATATCTTCTTGCCAACGTGTGCTTACACTGCAAAGGCAAACACATTTATACAGTCGGGACAAGATTAAGAGTACGAGTATGAGTGTATGACCATACACTAGACTACGATTACAAAGAGCAAAAGAAGAAGCAAGATGACAAAGGACCATGAGCACTTACTGCTCGGCTTCTTCTTCTGTCCGTACGTGACCTTGCCATCAAATTCATTCTGCTCAACCTTCAAGTCAGCCTCGACCTGTGGGATGGTGATGTCAAGATGGGCCTCCACATCGCGTAGCAACTGTCAGACAGGCACACAAGCATAGGCAAACACACACACACACACACACACACACACACACACACACACACACACACACACACACAACACACACAAACACACAGACGTTAGACCCTTCGAAATGAATGTAGTGGTAGTCAGCTACATGGACTAATAATAATTATAATGGGTGGTAGTACAAAACTCATGAGTGTGGGTTGTAACAAGCAGCAGTGCAGCAGCAGTGCAGCAGCAGTGCAGCAGCAGTGCAGTGTTATACGTTGGCAGTATGCTACCAGTTGTTCTTACCTTGACCTCGTTGTACCAGATAGTGCATCCACCTTGCTCCACCAGGCGGGTGTTGTTACAGCTCTTGCCACGGCTTGGACACTTGTGATACCAAACCTGCAACACGGGCACCAAACCAACGAATCAGAACGAGCGCACACCATAGCTGCATTGTTTTGAAGTGAAAAAAGGATAGGCAATCACACTCCAGTCACCACAGTAAATATAATGATGATTGCTAAAGTCAATTTACCCAACACCACAAAACTCGTTTAGGCCAATACACCCACAACCGTGTGTTTCAGAATGAGTTTCTTATTGTGAAGTACAGTAAGATCGGGGCGCCGAAGAACACCTCGCCGAAGAACGCCCAGGCTGGAAAACCGGCAAAATTTAAGAACAGTCCAGGCTAGAATTATCAGATTTAAGAACACTAATCTACATTGTACATGTATGGGAGGTGAGTACATGTCATGTACACGTGTAAACAGTAACTGCTACACGTACAGTCATTCCCATTTACGACACCCACTACTGGCACTAGTTTAGAAGCACTACATTGCACTACATGTACAATCATTCATGTACATGTACATGTACATGTACATGACAAACGTCATGACGTCACTCGACTCGCCGCGCGCGTGTGAATAAGAACGGTCTGGCTAGAATCAAAAATTTAAGAACTTTCCTAGGCTGCGCTCGAGCCCCTGCGTTCTTCGGCGCCCGATCTTACTGTAGGCAGAGCAGTAGGAGCAACTGACCTTTTCCTCAACCGTTGACACAAGAGAAATAGCCAGTCCCATCCTGCATACAGTGTACAACACAAGAACAAGACACGGCAAGATGAAAGCATTGGAGCAGCATGACAGGTTTCAAAGATCTTCAGCTGGTATTCCTAAGATATACTAGAGGTGAAAGTTTGCAGCGAGATTCCGAGTTCGAGTAATTGGATTTTCACCCATCGAATATTCGAGTATTCTTCGTCTCCTACAAAATCGCATTCAAAAAGGCTGAAACTCACAGGATACAAGCCCCGATCGAGCAGCTTGGCACTTAGTTTCTAGAGTACATTGGCCGGTGGGTCATTTGGGTTCTCTCTACTCCTGTACTCATGTACCAATGCTCGATTGTAAAATTTGTTGAGACATGACTGAGCCACGATGTAGTGAACAACGCCAAATCAATCGGTCCAAAAGTGCAAATTTCAAGTAAGGTTAATGCGGTGCAGCACCCCTCCCCCCCCCCCCCTCTCTCTCTCTCTCTCTCTCTCTCTCTCTCTCTCTCGAGCCCGAGTCTACACGTCAGCATAGACACACCGCAATTGAACATCTGTACCTTTCTGCTCTGCCTACACGGCCGATACGATGAATGTAGTTCTGCTTCTCATCCGGAAGAGTCACGTTGATCACTGTCACAGCACACAGAGCAAAACGCAAGGAAAACGGTGAGTGATCAAGCAGCAGGTCAGCACAATATGCTGGTGGCTGGTGTTATTGCACGAGAAAGATGTTCCTTCAACCAACCCCTTTGCGGAGGTAAGATTTTATAAAAGGATAGATTTGAGTATTGTTTGAAAAGGCATGATTTCACCGTTGCGACTTTTCCTTTGGAGAGAAAACAAGCGAGCGACACACACACAAGGACTGCTTACTGAACGGTACGCCACGGACGTCGATACCACGTGCAGCAACATCCGTGCAGATCAAGAACTTTGCCTGGCCAGCCTGACATTGAACAACACAAACAGCAGAAGCAGCATCAGCAAACCACGTGCGTCAAACACTTGTGTTCGTTATCCGAACAACATCAACTATGCGCATCATTGATTACCTGAAATGCCTGTTTACACTGGATTGAAAGGATAAAAGTGTGTTTTGCTGATTTTCCCCACCCACAGCACCTTCCAAATGGTGCACAGGATGTACTCATTGTGCACCTCTCGGCCTGGGCTGGACACAGTATTAATGATGGCATCTCAGAGGAACGGTACAGCCTGATGATGTATGTGACGTATGTGATGTATGTTAATTTCATTTATAGCAGACCGTGCATCCACAGTACTGCACGATGAAGTCTTGGCTCATCAGTCAGTTCATGTAGGGCACCGCACAGCAGCAGTACCCCATTGTATTGAAAACACTGCGGGTGCGGGTGCCCACTGAAACAAAGTGTTACTGTATTTTCTAGAGTATAAGTGGCACTTAGAACACAAGCAACTCACCCAAGAAAAGTCGGTGCGATGCCGCTTATACTAGGATAGTCAAATTAACGGTGGTAACTGGGGTAGATGTCTGTATTTCGTGACAAACAATCTCCATGAGCCTTACACCCTGGAAAATACGGTAGGTTCTTCATGGGACAGGTTCTCATTGAGCAGCCACAGTACTTCCAGAATCCTCTCACCTTGAATTGTTCCAGGTTGGCCTTGCGTTCCTGTGGCTTGCGATCACTGTGCAGGCACACACAGGAGTACTTGTTGGAACGGCCACCACCACCGCATACATTCAGATACTGCTCCAGATTGTCGCAGTCCAGCTTGGTGCGGCAGAAGATGATGGCCTGGTCCATGCGGTGCACGTCGATGGCACGCACCAAGTACTCGCCTTTCAGCCGCTTGACCGCCTCAGACATTGCCTCTGTGAAACACACATACAGGTCCACACAGGTCAACATCAGCTTTAGGAGCTGCATCTGCGCCTTAATCCCTGAGGGTGGTGGCGATCCCACGGATATGGAAAACTCAGTGTAGCCAAGTCTCACGCAAACCATTACAAAACGTTATTTGGGATGTGTGTTGCCAATATTGCCAGTCTTGATGTCTGCACCCAGTATTAACAAGGTACAAGACTTAGAAAGAGCAGTATAAATGTACACTGTAGCAGGAAAATTATTGTTGCATCTTGATCACAATTCTCTATACATGTAGAAGACGGGAGAGAGAGAGAGAGAGAGAGAGAGAGAGAGAGAGAGAGAGAGAGAGAGAGAGAGAGAGAGAGAGAGAGAGAGAAAGAGAGAGAGGGAGAGAGAGGGGAAAGGGGGGGGGGGGGGGGGAGAGAGACGCACACACGCACATACACACATACACACACACACACACACACACACACACACACACACACACACACACACACACACACACACACACACACACAGGGTTTCCCATTCCACTGAATCATACTGGATAAGTTTCTTACCTTTTGTGACCATGCCCGCCCGTGTGTTGTCCCTCTGATGAACGCCGTCAGTCTACAGTCACACAACACAAACATTACGTGCTTGATGACGTGCCTTCAAGGCTGTTGAATTTACCTCATCACCTTGTTGCCTTGGGGTCACTCGGGACACAAGTACGTGGAAGTTGGCAATCTTGTACGTTGCGTACAGCCATTGCTGCAAAGGCCATGATGATTGCCAACAGCACTACACTACTGCACTAGTATCATATCACCACCACGGTCGTGTGAGACACGTGTCGTCAGTAATCTTGGATTTCAATTATTATTTTCTGC